TTTGTTGTCCTTTCACTGTTCATGTTTCTTTAACCTCTTTTTCTTAGATAAGTCCCTTTAACATTTCATATAATAAGGGCTTGGTGATGATGAACTCCTTGAATTTGATCTTATCTGAGAAGCACCTTATCTGTCCTTCCATTCTAAATGAAAGTTTTGCTGGATAGAGCAATCTTGGTTGTAGGTCTTTGGATTTCATGACTTGGAATACCTCTTTCCAGCCCCTTCTTGCCTGTAAGGTCTCTTTTGAGAAATCAGCTGACAGTCTGATGGGGACTCCTTTGTAGGTGACTGTCCCCTTAGCTCTTGCTGCTTCTAGGATTCTCTCCTTCATTTTAATTTTGGCTAATATAATTATGATGTGCCTTGGTGTGTTCCTTCTTGGGTCCAACTTCTTTGGGACTCTCTGAGCTTCCTGGATTTCTTGGAAGTCTATTTTCTTTGCCATCTTGGGGAAGTTCTCCTTTATTATTTGTTCAAATAAGTTTTCCACTGGTGGCTGTGCCTTTCCCCTTTCTGGTACCCCTATAATTCGGATGTTGGAATGTTTAAAGATGTCCTGGAGGTTCCTAAGACTCTCCTCATTTCTTTGAATTCTTGCTTCTTGACTCTTTTCTGTTTGGCCATTATTTGCTTTCTTCTGGTCCACTCCATTGATTTGAGTCCCAGTTTCCTTTTCATTGCTATTGGTGTCCTGTGCAATTCCATTCATTTCAATTAGTTTCACCTTCATATATTTGTCTAATTTGTCAGTATAATCAACCAGTTCTGTGAGGATCCTGATGACCAGTGTTTTAAACTGTGCGTCTGAGAGTTTTGCTATTTCTTCATCGCTTAGATCTATGGGCTCTGGGGCTTTGAGATCTTGCAACATTTTTGGTCTGTTCGTGCCCTTTAAGTGTGAGAAGCGGCGCCTTGGACTCCCAGGTCGCTGGGTTGTGACACTGTACGTGGGGGCGTGGTCAGAGCGGGGAAATGACGACCCCCTCTGCTGTTTCTCACAGCTGGGTGAGGATTAGCGTCATAGGTGGTTCACCTGGGCCGGGCCACTCAGAGTCGCTGGGTTATGACGCTGTATGTGGAGGTGGGGTCAGAGCGGGGAAATGGCGGCGCCCTCCACTGCCGCTTGCCGCGGGGAGCAGGGGCCTGTCTTTCCAGGCAGACACTTACTCAGGTGTTCTACATGCCACTCCCCTCACAGGGGAGTCAGCAAAGAATGTTAGAGATCATTGGCTCAAGGCTTTCAGCCACTTAGGCCGTCCACAAGAGATCAAGACTGATAATACCCCAGGATACACTGCACAAGCTACTCAGGCTTTTTCAGAAAAATGGGGAATTTGGCATAAAACAGGTACCTCCTATAATCCTATAGGTTAAACAATTATCGAAAGCGCTCACCAGACCTTTAAAACTTTATTAAACAAATAAAAAAGGGGGAATCAGGAAACATCCCCCAGGAATTTAACCATGCTAGCAATATATAAATTTTCTTGAATTGTAATGATAATTTAAAGTCACCCATAGACAAATACCTTGTGCAAAACAGTCCTGCAGTCCCACACCTCTTGGTCTTACACAAAGACCCACTAGGGAAAGGAAGATGAGAAGGCCCAGTTGAACTGTTAACTTGGGGGAAGAGGGTATGTTGTGTTCACTCTCCAAAATGACCTTTGGAGCTGCCAGCGAAGAGAGTGAAGCCAAGTCACAGAAAAGGCTTCCCTGGCCTGGACCCACCTTTGCTCCACTGGACTCCCCCCATCCAGACTTCTCTAAGCGTGGGTTACTCCTTTAAAGTGGAATTCCAGTCAGCATTCCTGGACAGATACTCGTCATCGCCTGCAGGGCGCATTCTATACCAATCTCAGAGTACAGGTTGATCGGCTCCAGCTTGAGCTCCACTAGCAGCTCAGTGACATCAAACGCCTAACTGCACAAAAGGTGTTCCAGACCCTCCACTATAATCTACAATGGCTGAACCCTGAAAACTGGTTCAATGGACTGAATTTACAAGTTTGGGTCATGGCAGCCCTTGGGTGCCTCCTTGTCTTAATCCTTATTTGTGTGCTTTACAATGTATATGGAAGTTGTTTTCTCAAGATCACATTCAAAAACAGAAAATAGTAGGTTTCACAGGCTTAACAACTACAATTACATTCATAAACAAAAAAGGGGGAGATTGGGAACTGCCCTGCCTGGTTTCAGAAGCTGTAATCACCCCATGGCTAAGGCTGAGTGAGCAACCTTTGGACCATAAGCCACTAAGGAGACAAAGCTTATTTCCCTGGCAGGGGTGCCGCCTCTGCCCCTTTTACTTCACCCTGCCTGGCCCCCCTTGCATGATCGGTTAGCCAATGACAGGTAAGATTCCTCAAGGGAGGGATGACCTAAAACAGGCATGATCACAGGCACCCCCAGGGAAGGACTTGGGGAGCCATAGCCAAAGGGAGTGATGGACCCTCACCCCTCGACTTTGACAAGCCCGAGTCCTCATGCTGTCTGCGAGAAGTCTCCTAATCTCTTGGCTGCCTTACTTCCCCTGCCTGACTTAAGCCTGAAACACTGACAGAGGGCGGTGCAGCCCTGTGCTGGAAAGGTCAGGTTCCCTGGGGTGATCAGGCCTAAGAAAGAATACATAAACTCCTGTGAAACCTGCTTTGCCAAGAATGCTCTCAATTAAATGATAAGGGTCTGAGCAGGAAATGAGTTTGTTTCCCAAAGTTTTGTAGCCCTTTAGCTAACAGACTCAGAATATGCCCTTGTAGCTCTCTGTATGTTATCTATTATTTGATCCTTACTGCCTGACAATGATTAATGAGCTTTACCTGTATTCTTTTGCAAAATGAACCCAATAAAAGCCCACTGAGGAAAAGGCTCTTGGCCCTTCTCCTTGGAGAGACCTTTCCTCCCCAAGCAGATCACGTCCCAGTAGACTAATTCTTATCTGTGGGGGGGTGCCCTGCGGGCAGAGCCCCCTACATCAACACACCCCAAAAAGGTAATTCTTTGATATTTCAAACACTTTACATACCATATCAGAAAAAGTATGTTGAGTTTGTTGGTCTGTTATGGGAGTAGTTCCACCTCGTAATAGAAAGGCTAGTCTCACTGACCCCTTGTTTAAAAATCACATTTGTATGTCTTAGAATTCATCTTCTGTTGTCTCAGATGTGTGTCTGTTACACGACTCTACAGATGGAATTGTCACCACAGGTAAGTCCTCATTAGCAAAGAATCTGTCTGCTCAGGTTTACCCCCAGTTTGACACCTGGAGGTGAGAGCCAAGTCATTACATGCCAAATGCATCTTTTCTGCCAGAGGAATGCAAGTCCACATACAATACTGGATGTGGTATATAAATTATCCAAGGCAGTGACTTCGGCTTTATATATATTGTTAGTTTTAAATCATCTACTTTTATCTAAACTTCTAGATTGGACTGTTAGTGCTATTTCTCTTTGCAAAGATACCTGTCTTTCAGTAAACCACATTTTAAGCTTTTCCATAAAGACAAAAGAACACAGCACAGTTACAAACTCTGCTTTTTTTTAAATAAAAGATTTTATTTATTTATCTTTAGAGGGGAAGAGAAGGAGAGAAATATCAATGTATGGTTGCCTCTCCTGAGTCCCCTGCTGGAAACTGGCCTGCAACCCAGGCATGTGCCCTGACTGGGAATCGAACCGCGACCATGTGGTTCGCAGGCCTGCGCTCAATCCACTGAGCTACACCAGCCAGGGTACAAACTCTGCTTTTTAAAAACTGTATGTAGAAACTTATCAAAAATTTTACAGCGGTAACATCTGGGGAATGGAACTATGGGAGACATTCTACTTTCTACTTTCTTATATTTTCCATAATTTTCTAAATGATTATACACTAGTTTATAAAATATATTTTAATAAGTAGAAGTTATAAAATTAGTTTGTGAATTATAATATCTTAATGAAACTGTTAAAAATATACGTATCTAAATCTTTATTGTAAAAACGCAACAATAAAAACAAATGAAATGCAAAGGAGCTGGAAGGGACCCAAGAGATCATGCTGGCTGGTATTATATTTTGAAGATTTCACTTACTTATTTTTAGAGAGAGGGGAAGAGAGAGAGAGAGAAAGATCCACATCAATAGGCGGTTGCCTCACACGCCCTCTACTGGGGGACCTGGCCTGCAACCCAGCACGTGGTCTGACTGGGAACCGAACCTTTTGTTTCACAGCCCAGCACTCAATCCACTGAGCTACACCAACCAGAGCTGGTGTTATACTTTGTATATCAAAGAAAAGTTTTTGTCAAAACCACCAGTTCACGAGTGGCTAAACCTAAGTCAGGCCCCCTTCCAAACCAGTACTTTACAATACCTCTGCTGTTTCTCTTTAGACAAAAGGAAATATGTTACAGTTCAGTAAATCTGTATTTGATTACATGCTTTTTTGGCCTCAAGTTCATTTAAAATAAGTGCTGCCCCCAAATAAAATTTTCTGAATAGTCATCTAAGAGAGTAAGAAAGAAATCAATGGAAATTTATATTAAACCAAAGTTCAACTTGACTATTTGATAGAAAACCTTAGTAACTACATAGTTTAATGAAGAAAGGGACATGCTTGTGGTCACTACAATTGCTGGATTTCAAGAACCTGGACAAGGCTGGACTAGGTGACTTCCAAGCTTCTCTCCTAAACAAGGTTTTTTATTTTAAATAAAACGTCATATCACAAACATTGCTATACCTACAGTCAGTAGGTATTTGTTCAGCACTGAAATATTATCAGACGGAGCCTGATCTAGATCCATATATTACACTAAATTTCTCATCACAGAGGAGCTTCCAGGACAACATGGGTTCAGGGTCTACATAAGCTATGAGCAATTTTATTACTAAAGTATGGATATTTTACACTCTAAATATTAAAATACCCGCAATGAGATTGCCAATTACAAAGTCACCATTCACCCCCCCACTTTAACCTACATTAAACATATTCATATCAAAATTTCTTACCATAAAGAACAGACTGGATGGATGTGCGCACTGATTATTTTAGCAATGCCTCTTGTCAAAAAATCCCAGATGACAATTCGGCCATCGTTACAGCCAACTGCGAGCAGTGTGCCCCACCTGTTAAAGGTGCAGGTCAGGGCCATGCTGATACAATCCAAAGTTCCATCAGCTTCCTAAAAATTAAAGTGAACACAAAACTATATACAATAATACCCAGATATCCAAATGATTATTGATTTTTTAATAAAAATAACCTTTTACTTATTTCTATCCTTGCCCAAGGACATGCTTGTTGATTTTGGAGAAAGGGGAAAGGAAGAAGAGAAAGGGAGAAAAACATTACTCTGTTGCCTCTTGTATGTGTCCCAACCAGGAACCAAACCTGTGACCCAGATATGTGCCCTGACTGGGAACTGAACCCAGAAACTTTCAGTTTATAGGACAATTCTCCAACCACCTGAGCCACACTGGTCAGGGTTCCAAATTATTTTTTAAAGAGTGTCTACCATCTATGACACTTCTCTCGAATTTAAATCATGACGTACACCAAAATAATCTCTATGTATGTGCTTATACCTATTAAACTAGTCAAAATGAAGAAATATTTATAAATGCTAACAAAATTTTTGGAAACAGGTACGATCAATCCCATTATAACTTTGTATACACACTCTGGAGGGCAATTAGGTCAAATATAACAAGATTCATTAAAAGAATCATCCTGCTAACCCAGTTATCATATTTTTGGGAATTTATCCCCCCCCCAAATAATTTAAAACAAACACCCTAGAACAGCCTATATAATATTAGAAAAGCAAAAAAAAATTATATTAATATCAATCCATTTAAAATATACTTGATCTTAGCCAAAAGGCCAAGAAGTGATCAATCCATTTAAAATAATCATAACTTAACTGAAACATACAAAATCTGTCCGGAAAAAGTCCAGCCACTGTTAACATAAGAACAGTTTGCATGACAACTCTCCAGCAAAGGAGAGTGGACTGGAATGTGCATGTGTGAACAGGAACGACTTCACGGCCCTAGTCAGTGGGGGCAGCGTGAAGTGAGTGAGTGGGCACATGTACTGTGTGGCTGTTGAGTTCAAAATGACTGAGCAAGTACAGCAACAAATTTGCATCAAATTTGTGTTGAGTTTGAACATTCCTTCATGGAAAGGGTGATTCAGAAGGCCAGAGCGATGGGCAACTGGTGAGTGGCAGCTTATTCACAACAGCATGCCCACTCAGGCATCATGTTTCGTGCAGAGTTTTTTTGTGAAACATCAAATCACCCAGGTGACTCAGCTCCCCCTACAGCCTATATTTGGCATCCTGTGACTTCTGGCTTTTCCCAAAACCAAAATCACCTTTGAAAAGGAAAAGATTTCAGACTGGTAATGACAGTCAGGACAATACAACAGGGTAGCTGATGGCAACTGGGAGAACTGTGTAAGGTCCCAAGGTGCCTACTTGGAAGGGGACTATACAATATCCTATGTACAATGTTTCTTGTAGTTTGTATCTTCCTTAATAAATATCTTTATTTTTCATATTACATGGCTGGATACCTTCTGGACAGATCTCATATTCCAAAACATTTTTATATTTTAAAAGGTAAAGCACACTTATAGCATATATTAATTTATTACTACGTAAGAGCATCAATCAAAACTAGAAAAAATATACAGGCAATGGGACTGTTTGTGACCCTTTAATCAACTTTTTTTTTTTTAATTTAAAAGCAAATGAACTGTAAGATTTACATTATTTACATTATGGTGAGATTTTTCAGGCTACATTGCCTATCTGCCTCCACCCCCCAAAACAGACCATTTCGTTTTCTGTATTTCTTCTGCCATAATGAAAAACACATATCATCACAGTTAACGTTTCTGTTGTCAAAAAAAAAAAGGGATCAAAGTGCATTTTCCACTCAAACACAAAGCTAGTGAGTTACCATGTTCATAAAATCACACTCTTACCTCTGGATAATTCTGCCCAAAGGACTCTGCAACAAAACAGAGAAAGAGAGTTTGTGGGACACATGCAATGTACCAGGGGCCTACGGTTCATGAGTGGCATGTAGCAACAATCTGCAAAGTGTGGATGGGGAACTGAAGCCCTTTCTTGTTTTCATTATTATACCAACGAGGTACTCGCCTTTCTATCCTCATTATCTCCTGAGTTTATGGATGAGTTCTCCTAAGGCTCTATGACTTAGGACACTGCAACAGAATGGATGCAGAAGGAGAAGGAAGAATTCTGCCAACTTCCATTTAGGCAAACATTACAGAGATTTGTAAAAGTGCAAAACAATGTTACTCCTCTATTTTTTTAAAGAAAATAGTTATTTTTCATAAAAACGTTACTTACATAAACAGGTAATTATGTCATTATGGTTATTTTTAAATAACAAACTCTTAAAAATCAAGTCAAATTATCTTAAGTTCCAAATATTCCTAGAATTTTTATTAACAGTAGCCAACCAACAGCAATCACTCCCCTGATTAATAACAGCATCTTGGTTGTGACACAGGCTAGCAGTTGGTTAAACACACGTGTCTCCATTTCTCAAGCAAAAAATATTTTGGTACAAAAATCCCTAAATGTGTTTCCTATATTAAATTTGTTATTTACACATTAGTAGTAATAAACATTTCAAGATATAAATGATATGATACCACTTGCTTATCAGAAATTTAATTTCAGGAGCAGCAGCATCTTTGTCAGTATTTACTTATGTAACTACATAAAGATTTTATTACAATGGTTTTTAAATATTTCATTTATTTATTTTTAGAGAGAAGGAAAGGGAGGGAAAGAGAGAAATATTGATGTGTGAGAGATACATCCATCCTCTCTCACATCCCTAAAAGGGGACCTGGCCCACAACCCAGGCACGTGCCCTGACTGGGAATCAAACCTGTGACCTTTTGGTTTGCAGGCCCACACTCAATCCATTGACCCACACCAGCCAGGGCTTATTCCAATGGTTTTTAAACTATACTCTGAGAACTACTGAACCACAAAAGCTGTATTACATATAGGGCATCCAAATAAGATTTTATTTTAAAAAAGTCATATTCTTAAAAAATAAAAAGAGTCTGAAAACTGCTTTCATTATATTTTGTCCCTTTAAAACAACTAATAGACGCCATGGCTGGTGTGGCTCAGTGGATTGAGTGACAGCATGCAAACCAAAGGGCCGCCAGTTTGATTCCCAGTCAGGACATATGCCTGGGTTGCAGTCCAGGTCCCCAGTAGGGGGTGCTCAAGAGGCAACCACACACTGATGTTTCTCTCCTCTTTCTCTAGCCCTCCAAAAATAAAATCTTAAAAAAAAATTAATAGAAAACTGAAGAATGGAAACATTAAAACATCACCCCCTGATGCCCTATAGTTAAAAACACTTAAATGCAGCCAAACCACAGAAAATTGAACTATATGGAAGTCTGACAACAACGAACCCTTCAGCCAAACCGGTAAGAGGGGCAGAGCCAGCAGCAGAGCAGGGTCGGGCAGGAAAGATCCACGGGACCGACCCATGCGCGTGACCCAGGTGCGCCAGCAGCCGTGGGCGGATCCCAGGTGTGGAGTAGCGGGCGGACCCACTGAGGGCATAAGGTGTTGGACCCACTGAGGGCTGACTGCAGTCACACATTCGTGTGCAGATAAACCGGTGAAGGATCGAGCAGTAAGATGAACTGCTCAGGCCCCAGCGGCAGGAAGCGTCAGAAGGGACCGCCATTGTCCCTCTCTGACCCCGCCCCCACATACGGTGTCACAAACCAGCGACCTGAGTGGCCCCTCTCTGACCACGCCCCCACATACAGAATCACAAACCAGCAACCTGGGTGGCTCCGCCCTGGTGAACACTTAAGGCTCCTCATACGTAACAGGCACGAACAGATCAAAACATAGCTCAAGAACAACTCAGAGCCCCTGAGCTGATAAATCTAAGCGATGAAGAAATAGCCAAACTTTCAGATGCACAGTTCAAAACACTGGTGATCAGGATGCTCAAAGAACTGGTTGATTTTAGTCACGAAGTAGAGGAACATATGAAGGTTAAACTAATTGAAATGAAGGGAAATGCACAGGAAACCAATAGTGATGGAATGAAAACTGGGACTCAAATCAAGGAAGTGTACCAGAAGGAGGGGAAAAATGACCAAACAGAAAAGAATGAAGAAACAAGAATTCAAAAAAAATGAGGAGAGGCTTAGGAACTTCCAGGACATCTTTAAACGTTCCAACATCCAAATTATAGGGGTACCAGAAGGGGAAGAGGAACAGCCACCAGTGGAAAACTTATTTGAACAAATAATAAAGGAGAATTTCCCCAATCTGGCAAAGGAAATAGACTTCCAGGAAATCCAGGAAGCTTAGAGAGTCCCAAAGAAGTTGGACCCAAGACGGAACACACCAAGGCACATCATCATTACATTAGCCAAGATTACAATGAAGGAGAGAATCCTAGAAGCAGCAAGAGCTAAGGGGACAGTCACCTACAAAGGAGTGCCCATCAGACTGTCAGCTGATTTCTCAAAAGAGACCTTCCAGGCAAGAAGGGGCTGGAAAGAAGTATTCCAAGTCATGAAATCCAAAGACCTATATCCAAGATTGATCTATCCAGCAAAGCTTTCATTCAGAATGGAAGAGCAGATAAAGTGCTTCTCAGATAAGATCAAATTCAAGAAGTTCAACATCACCAAGCCCTTATTATATGAAATGTTAAAGGGACTTATCTAAGAAAAAAAAGAGAGACTTCCGCCAAGATGGAGACGTAGATGGAGGATCCACCTCGCCTCTGTGCACAACCAAATCTAAGAACAACTATTTTTAACAGCAGTCACAACCAAGCCACACGGAAAATCGACAATACGGAGTCCAAAGGACAACTAGATACTCGGCTGGACCGGTACGAGGAGCGAGACCAGCAGCGGAGCAGGTTAGCAAGAAAAAATTCCCGGGGCGGTGCGCGGTGCGCGCAGGCAACCCAGGGCGCTGATCGCCAGTGAGCTGGCTGCCGGAGCGCACAGGGAAGAGGCGTGGTGGGTCTGTCGGTCGCGCGCATTTACGTGCGGAGAAACCAGTGAGAAGGGAAACCCACGCGGTGCAGCAGGCTCGCACAATTAGGATTGGATAAGCAAGCCCGAGGCGTGTGAGTGACTGGATGGGCTGGGCTAGCAGAGAGGAACGCCATTGCTCCCTCTCTGACCCCGCCCCCACACACAGCGTCACAAACCAGCGACCTGGGTCGCCCCGTCCTGGTAAACAACTAAGGCTTCGCTCCACTCACTTAACAGCACTAATAGACCAAAAATGGCTCTAGGACAACTCAGAGCCCCAGAACCGATAGACCTAAGTGATGAAGAAATAGCCAGTCTTTCAGATGCACAGTTCAAAACACTGGTTATAAGGATCCTTACAGAACTGGTTGACTTTAGTCACAAATTAGAGAAACATATGGAAGCTAAATTAATTGAAATGAATGGGGATACAAAAGATACCAATAGTAATGGAAAGAAAATTGGGACTCAAATCAAGGGAGAGGACCAGAAGGAAGAAAAAAATGATCAAACAGAAAGGAATGAAGAAATAAGAATTCAGAAAAATGAGGAGAAGCTTAGGAACCTCCAGGACATCTTTAAACGTTCCAACATCCGAATTATAGGGGTACCAGAAGGGGGAAAGGCACAACCACCAGTTGAAAAATTATTTGAACAAATAATAAAGGAGAATTTCCCCAAGCTGGCAAAGGAAATAGACTTCCGAGAAATCCAGGAAGCTCAGAGAGTCCCAAAGAAGTTGGACTCAAGAAGGAACACACCAAGGCACATCATAATTACATTAGCCAAGATTAAAATGAAGGAGAGAATCCTAGAAGCAGCAAGAGCTAAGGGGACAGTCACCTACAAAGGAGTGCCCATCAGACTGTCAGCTGATTTCTCAAAAGAGACCTTACAGGCAAGAAGGGGCTGGAAAGAGGTATTCCAAGTCATGAAAACCAAAGATCTACAACCAAGATTGCTCTACCCAGCAAAACTTTCATTTAGAATGGAAGGACAGATAAAGTGCTTCTCAGATAAGACCAAATTCAAGGAGTTCATCATCACCAAGCCCTTATTATATGAAATGTTAAAGGGACTTACCTAAGAAAAAGAAGATAAAAAAGATGAACAGTGAAAGGACAGCAAACTCACAGTTATTAAGAACCACACCTAAAACAAAAGCAAACTAAGAGGACAGCTAGATCAGGAGCAGAACCATAGAAATGAAGATCTCATGGAGGGTTAGCAACAGGGGAGTGGGAGGAGGGGAAGGGGGGGAGAAGGTACAGAAAATAAGTAGCATAGACAGTAGATAGAAAATAGATAGGGGGGAGGGTAAGAATAGTAGGGGAAATACAGAATCTAAAGAATTTGAGACACATGTTCATGAACTAAAGGGGGAAATGGTGGGGGAGGGGTATGCAGGGTGGAGGGGAAGGGAGGGGGGAATAGAGCAAATGTAATGGCATAATCAATAAAAATAAATAAATAAATTTTAAAAAAAAAGATAAAAAAGATGAACAGTGAAAGGACAGCAAACTCACAGTTATTAACAACCACACCTAAAACAAAAGCAAACTAAGAGGACAGCTAGATTAGGAGCGGAACCATAGAAATGAAGATCACATGGAGTGTTAGCATCAGGGGAGTGGGAGGAGAAGGGGGGAGAAGGTACAGAAAATAAGTATCATAGATGGTAGGTAGAAAATAGATAGGGGAGAGGGCAAGAATAGTATGAGAAATATAGAATCTAAAGAACTTGAGACGTGGTCATAAACTAAAGGGGGGGAACGGTGGGGGAGGTGTGCAGGGTGGAGGGGAATGAAAGGGGGAAATAGAACAACTGTAATGGCATAATCAATAAAATATATTTAAAAAATAAAATCTTTAAAAAAGAAAGATTCCGAGAGAATGCAGAATCCAGGAACCATTTTAATGCATGATTATCCCAACA